CTCTCTCTCTCTCTCTCTCTCTCTCTCTCTCTCTCTCTCTCTCTCTCTCTCTCTCTCTCTCTCTCTCTCTCTCTCTCTCTCTCTTCGAGAATGAAACGGGAATGCGTGTTCCCGTGAAAGCGGGAAGATGTATTCCCGTTTCGTTTTTCGAAACGATAGCGGGAAGATGAACCATTCGTTTTTCTTATTTCTTTGTTTTTTTTTGTTTTTTTTTTGCCCGTTTTTCCCGTTGTGTACTTCGCACGTTCGGGATGGCTGCGCCAGGTAATCCGAGCCTCGGCACGGATCGGCGTACCGGTCGGCCGAGGCTCGGACTCGATAGTTGGGCCAGGTACTGGTGGTTTAAGCCGTCATGTTTTTGAAGCATGTATGTCGTGGCCGCATACAGATCATGCTAAAGTGGGAGCTGCGAAAAGGATCAGACTTTTTTTTTTTTTTTTTTTAATTAAAAGGGCCCAGTGCCCAACGCTGATATTAGCAATAAGAAGATTGAAGCCGGGGTCCTCACAGTCTACCCGGAGTGACCGAACTGAAATTGTTGAGAACCGGGCTCAGTGTCCCCCGTATGATGATGATGATGATGATGATGATGGTGATGAGCTTATGCTGATTCTATGTAAACTATGAGATAATCATACTAATGATGATGATGCTAGTGACGATGACGATATATAAAAAATATAAAAGACTATACTATATCAACAAATTTCGGTCTCCTAATCCTAGATCAACTCCCAACCCTCCCTATACCTGGACATAACATCTTAGAGACAATGCCATCCTAACCAACGTCAACCAAGGTTGACCTGTTCTCGCCACCTGGACTATCCCCGGACCCATAGGTTGTCAAAGCAGCCCCCCCGTTTCGCCACTGGATTGCCTTCCTCCCTCAACAAAACCCCATATCTCTGTACAAGACCTCAGACTCCTGCCATGTGCAGGTTACAGAGCATTGCCCCAACTCCGGCCAGCGTCGTTCTGGCATCAACAAACCAGGGGCACAAAACAAAGCAACTCTGCCAATATCAGTCCAGATTCGACCATCTCTAAAATCCTATATCCCAAATGAGGAAGAAGGTCCGATGCTGCCAAGAATGACAGAACACCAGACAAGTTTTTTTTTTTTTTTTTGATGACGATGATGATGATGATGATGAGTGTGTAAAAATATAGAAGACTACGCTATATCAGCAATTCTGGCCTCCTAATCCTGAAACAACTCCTAGCCCTCCCTGCACCAAGACATTACATCTTAGAGACAATGCCATCCTAACTAATGTCAATCGTAGCTGACTTGTTCTCGCCACCTAGACTATCCCTGGACCCATAGGTTGTCAAGGCAGCCCCCCCCGGTTCGCCACTGAATTGCCTTCCTCCCTCAACAAATTCTCAAATCTCTCTACAAGGCCTCACACTCCTACCATTTGCAGGTTACAGGGCAACACCCCAGCTCCAGCCAACGTCGTTCTGGCATCGACAAAGCAGGGGCATAGAACAAAGCAACTCTGCAGATATCGGTCCAGATTCGACCATCTCTGAAATCCTATATCCCGAATGAGGAAGAAGACCAGATGTCGTCAAAAATTACAGAACACCAAAACGTTTGATATAACATGATTGAAGACTACGAAATTTTGAAGCACTTGTTCTGTGAAAGTTAATTTCCCCCCTCCCCTCCTTCCCACCCTATCCCAACGCTGCCTCCACTGAAACGGATTACCCAGATCACAGTCATCCCATCTCAGCCCCAACTTGGGACAGTCCCACATTCCCCCCCATTATCCCTCAAAGGCATACAGTTCCCTCCCAAAGCATGCCTCTACTCACCTTTTACCCTAGTCTGCCCCCGCTGGGATGTGTATACCCACCCCAACCCCAGAATAGAGCAACCCACTAAATCTGCTCGCACCCCCTCCAGGGCTTCAACTCCCACCTGGCGTCGCCCCTGCAGAGTGGAGATCTCCCCTGTTCACTCCACCTTCCATCCATCAGGAAAAAAACGTTGATGCACAGAGAGAAGAATACAGATACCAGGAACAGGCATTCGAACCAAAGAAATTTACGCTGGAGAAAACTTGAAGACCAGGATTTATAAAAGAATTGGATAAGAGTCAGCTCATGGAAGCAAATGCAACAAAAATTAAAACATGGAAAGTGAACATGCAGACTAGAGAAATCTAGAAGACCACGTTTCTGCAATAAAATTGGATGAGAGTCAACTTATGGAAGCAAATGCAGCGAAGATAAAACTATGAAAAGTGGAAATGTAGATTGGAGATTCAGAAATTCGAAATGTAGGAATTTAGGTATTAAAAACACCAATCAGCTTAGTTCTAGGAGTTGAGAGTTAAGATGATTCTGGAATGTTCCGGAGTATTATTTAGAAATTTAATTTCGATAATTAATTAGGATATTATTTTAATGGAAAGAGTAGAATGGTTATTAGGATGATTATATGTATGATGATTGGATGTTGATTAGCTCTGATGTGGTTGCCATGCGCGAGCAGACATCACACGAGCAGGCAGTGTCAACATGCAAGTAGTCAACGCTCAAGCAGTCAGCGCACAAGCAGCCAGCACGCTAGTAGCTAGCGCATGAGCAACCATCATGCGCACAGGCAGCGGACGAACAGCCAGCACACTAGTAGCCAACACAACTTCTAGCACCCACACAACCATGCCCGCTGGCCATATCGAGGAAGATTGGTTCTACTCTGTTGACATTCAAATAAGAACAAAAAAGAACAAAACAGACGAGATTTTGAAAAAAAGAAAAATTTTGAGATGCACTCCCCCTCCCTCTTTTCTCTAAGAATCCCTAATCCCTACCCCTCTCGCGCTACCTCATCTCCTCCCACTCTCCCTCCGCTCTCCGACATATTCAGCCCCCTCCCCCATCCTCCCCTTCTCTACTTTCTACCATCCTCTCCCTCCATCTCCCATCTCCTACCCCAGAAAAAGGAGGGTGAAGTAGAAGTGTATGAGAGAGGAGGGAAAGAAGGAGAGAGAAAGACTACCGATGAAAAGAGGTAACGAAGAGTGGATGATAATGATAATGATGATAATGATGATAATGATGATAATGATGATAATGATGATGATAAAGCTGTTACCCTTCTAAAAGAGTGTCTCCCTTCTCAGTAATGGTGATGATGATGATGATGATGATGATGATGATGATGATGATGATGATGATGATGATGAAGATAATGATTATGATGATTAACGATGATGATGATGACAAAACTGAAGATGAAGCTGATGTTGACTACCATTTTGATGATGATACCACTGCTGCCTTGCTGCTGCTCTGTTCCTGTAGAAAGCCTGCTATCTCCTGCGCTCGCCATCGGCAGCACTTGCTCCACAGAGAATACGTGAAGACAAAGCCATGCCTCTCAATCACTTATTCCCCTCGCCAACAAGCAGCCCGAATAGATGATGATGATGATTGTTGATGAGTGACATCCCCCCCACAAGCTACTGCCCTGCAACTGATAATGATGAAGATACGTGTGCCGCATGATGAGCGTACTCCTAGAAATGATGACTACAAAAACCCGTCGCACCCACTCTGCATGACGGACAGTATTCCACCATCCTTGTCAAGAAAGTATGCTCCCTCACGAAAACAAACCTCCCCTTCTCTCTGCGCACCAGCCTTTGGTGCCACTAGAGGAAAGTACAAAGCAAGCTCTCCCCCTTCATAGCCAAAAATAGCAGCCCGCTTGCTGCCTGCCAGCAGAAGCGCCCGCCAGCAGCTGCGCCCACCAGCAGCGCCCTCCATCAGCAGCCCCTGCCAGCAGGCACCCGACATCAGCAGCGCCCGCCAGCAGCGCTTCCGCCAGCAGCGCCCTCCATCAGCAGCGCCCGCCAGCAGGCACCCACCATCAGCAGCGCCCGCCATCAGCAGCGCCCACCAGCCAGCCATGCGTCATTTGCCAGCAGCCGCGCCCACCAGCAGCAGCGCTTCCGCCAGCAGCACCCTCCATCAGCAGCATCTGGCGTACTGACCGTTCCAGCTTAATGGGGGGGCT